TGAGCACCATGAGCTCTCCCACCCTGCGCGCGGAAGTGATGGCTATGAGGAATGCAGTTTGCCAAGAAAGCAGCCTCATATCACACATCGCAAGCGGCTCAAATGGCTTTCGCGTAAGCTGACGTAAGACCATCGGGAGATCCCACTGTTCCACCGGACATCAGACAGGAGGGTAGAGGTGCAAGAGTCCTTTTAGGAGGCGTTTAGAGAGGGGGTGGGAAAAAACTGAGTGTCCCTCAACTTGAACATGGTATGCCGATAAGGCGGCTAGGTAAACTTTTAACGAGGAGTGTGATAAACCGGCATCGGCCAAGGATAATAGAAATTCAAAGATCCTTGTAAGACCAACCCGAGTTGCTTGAGAAGCAGGCACACCCATAAACAAACAAAACTTGTTCCATTTGCATGCATAGGATTTACGTGTGGAGGGTTTCCTAGCATTGAGTAAAACTTCAGTCACACGTGAGGAGAATCCCTGCGGCACACCTTCCAAGTTTGAGGCGGCAGACATTGTGATGCAGTAGCCATGTTCCCAAGAGGAACAGGAGATCCGGTGCCGGAGGGAAGTGACGGAGGCTGTCAGCTCGAACATTCAGGTGGCCAGGTATGTGGGTCGCAGTCAGATGAATGCGTTGAGACAGGCACCAGTTCCATAAACGAATTGCCAGATCGCAGAGGCGACGGGACACAGTGCCCCCTTGTTGGTTTACGTAACTGAGCGCTGTAATGTTGTCCGTGAGAACGGCCACACATCTCTCATGGACTAATGGCAGAAAGGTGAAGGCTTCCTCGGCTGTACTAACTACCAGGCGCGTGTGAGCCGTTAACAGTACACCCTGTGGGTACTGTAGTTTCCTGGCCTGCTGGCACTTGTCGTCAGGCAGGTCTGCCAAAAACTCAGAGAGGCATTCCCACAGGGTGGGATGTGGTCCAATCGGCGTGACGAAACAGGCATGGACAAGGGTTTATCCCACAACACCTTGGTCGCTTGCAGGAGGACCGTTGACATCGGTAGCGCTATCAGTGTTGACGCATCTAATTGGACCACATCAAAAACAGCGTCAGAGACAGAGGGTTGTGGTTGGACTACTGAGAGTCCCAGCGAGTGGGCCATACGTTTAATGAGGTCACCGTACGAGGACATGGCCTCGGAGGGTGAGATAGGCAGGTTATCTGTTACCGATGGCCTTGGAGATGGGTCGTCGGGCGAACTGCCTGGGTCCGATAGCTCTAATTCAGAAGCCTCCGCCACGGATGACGATGATTCATGGTCTGGAAGTTGTGTTGGGGGTTCTAACTGGACTGGGGCTGGCATCGATACCGAGGGTTTCGGTATCGAAGGTTCAAGCGGTGTAACCTGGACGTGCTGGTCCCCATGGGCCGGTGGATGTGGACGAGGAGACTCTGGCGCCCTGGAGACTGTGGCCGATGGAGGCACTCGAGGCCGACGGGGTGATTGGGATCAATGTATGGAATATCGGTCCCAATCTGAGTATCCAGCGGGGGTCAGCCAAGGCATGGATGCCGCGGGTGGATAAGCTTCATAGAGGTACTGGAGTTGTCGTTGATCCCATGGTATTGGTTGAATGGGGGGTTGGTAACCTCTAGGAGAACAGTCCCTGACATAAGGATGCCTTGGAGATCGGGAAAAGCCACGTTCGCGAGAGCGAGAGCGGGGCAAGACTGGTTGTGCGTAGTCAGAAACATGGCGACGTTCCCCTGACGTTCGACGATGACGAGGGCGTCAGTATCGATAGTTGGCATCGGCTGGTGAGGGCAATCGAGAAGGCGAGGAAGAGGCAGGTCTGTCCTGCCTGGAGATGTGGCTGAGACCAGTGACTGTGCCGATATCGGAGCATCGTTCCCTATTGATCAGGATTGGAAGCGCTCTCCGAACAGGTGAGTTCAGCAGCTGGATAGGTGGTTGCATAGTAATTGGTGGGGCCTCCTGCGTCGATGCCCCAGGAACTGTAGGCTTATCCATGGTGGCCACCACAGAGGGAGGATCCACAGCGGTATCTGGCCGAGGCGCCTTAGGGGGTTTAGTACTGCCCTTTATGGCTGCCTTGCCTGTCTTCTCAGCCCGGGTTTTCTTCTTTTTCTTCACAGGAGTCGACACCGAAGATTGCACGAGCGGAGTTAATCTTTTACTCGTCGATCGCCCAATGTCAGAAGCTGACTTCGGTACCGATAGACGCGCCGAAGCCGATGGAGCAGTTGACGTCGAAGCTGTTGGCTGTGAAACGGGATCCATCCCCAACGGGTGAGGGGCCAAAGCAGACTCCAGGAGGGCCACCTTTAAGCACGCTGCCCGATTCTTCCGCGTTTGGTTAGAGAATTTAGCGCAGTGAGGGCAGGCGTCTGGATGATGAGCCTCTCCCAGGCAGAATAGGCAAAGCGTGTGGCCATCCGGAAGGGCCAATTTGCTTCCGCAGGATGTACAGCGGTCGAAAAAACCCCACTTTTTTTTCTTTTTTGCCATAAACTAAAAACGGGCGAGGGGAGGCAAAAAGCGGTGGTGGAGGGGGGGGCACCCCCTGTATCTTTAAGTTCCTTCTTCTTCTTCTTCTTCTTCTTCTTCTTCTTCTTCTTCTTCTTCTTCTTCTAGGCAAAGGACGAATGAGTTAATGAAAGTCAAGAAAAAATGAACCCAGATGAATCCGAGAGCTACTAACGGAGAAAAGGGCTACTGAGGTAAGTTCACCGACCAAAAAGAGCTGCGAACAGCACGGCGGTCAGAAGAAAACTGGCGGGATGTTCGCGCCCATCCCTCTGGGCATGCGAAGTAGGGGTTCCTGCGCCTGCCTGAGGTTTGGGCACGGAAATTTGTTGGCGCTTGCTACAACACCGATCTGGTTCAGTGCAGGTGCACTAAACCCCATGGGTGTGAAGCACAGAGACCATGTCTAATTGTATTCTTACGAGACAGCAGAGTCGTCTCTATTATTTGAATGACTGTGCAGTATATATTTCACTCATATATTCTAGGCAGGTTTCCAGACAGTATTAAACAACACAGTTTTAGAGCATGTACGTTCAAGAGTCTTATGAATAGCTGCTCACCAAGCCATCTGTGGCAAGAAAGCATTACCTGCTGGTGAGCACACACGGAAGTTTTTGAAAACTCTACGCAGGCCTTAAGGTTTAGGATTGCACTGCAAAAGACTAGGAGAGGGGGGAGTGATCCAGTAACTTCTGCAAATTCATTGGTGAGGCTGAAAAAACTGGCTAGTCCCTCCTCCACAGAAAAAGCCTCCTATAAGAAGTCCCTTCCTAGCTCCATACGATAAATGCTCCTCCAGTGCACCAATGAATAGAAACACCTTTGTGTGATATCCTACGAGGTCAAAACTTAGACACAGGTTAGCTGTTGCATTGGGAGTTTACAGATAACCACCACACAAACGTATTGT